TGGTAAACTAATCATATAGTCCCAATTGCACAAACAGAGCCTGTTTAACGTATTTTAGCCAGGTCTATTGCAGGGGCCATAGTCACAGGGTAGGAGACTGGCAAACAGGCCCCTCCAAAAACATGTGGCAAACTCACAGGAAAAGGGGAGCTTGTCACAATATATCTCCAAAATGCACACTGGCAGGCACCTATTCAATGCACTCTACCAGAGCGCGCACACTGCAAGACTCACACACAATGTTACACACAAAAAATCACACTGCTATAAACACATACTTGGACACACTCATTGGTAATGCTGTGGCTTCCCTATGGTTCAGGGGGGTCAGTCTGGCCAGGTACATTACAAGAGATGGGGCTTCAGTGGGCTGCTCTACTTTGACATGCTTTATTCATCTCATGAGGTGGAAGCAAATTTGGGGGTGCCTTCATTGCCCACTGGAATCGATGATGCCACGCACAGATATCTGAATATGTCCCACTCGAACCACCATCAGGCCAGCTGCAGGAGAGATCCCGCCAGCCTGTTTGGATCAAGCAGCTTCGCATGCCATGCAAAGGCTTCTTGCGTGCCTAACCTTCGGGTATAAAGATGACTGCATGTGACGCCATTAGTCCTTTTGAGGTTTAGTGAACAATTTTACCAATTGCTGATTCCATAGAAAATTAAACCATAAAGTTTATTATGTGAAAACATGCCCAGCATTTATTTGGCGGCTCTGTGCTTGGGATCAGCGTTTTGTTAAAGCAATCACCGCAAAGCCCGAATGTAAGACATGATGCTAAAAGCAAGGGTACCACTGCAATATATTTTCAATCCACAGATCTCATGCCAAAGAAGATTTCAATATATTACCTACTGCTTGCTGCCTTTGGCAGTCTCATTCATTTCAATGTAAAATTACCAAAGCCTTGTTGTTAAAGTGTCTATTTTAACTACAGATTGCAGCTGACAAAAGGCTTTAGAGTCATCCAGTTTCCATTTATTTTTAAATTTAGCTGCTATAGTTTTTCGTAAACGTAAGTGATATTCTTAATACACGTAAATGGTCTTTAGTACTCATTTTATTAACAAAATAAAAATGTAATAGTGAAATAATCAACTGCATACGTAAACCACTCAGCAGAACTTTTAAAGTTGCCATGGAGAAGGATTCACTCACCATAGAGTTGTGTTCCCCTGAGTGTAGAAAGGAAACACCTAGCTTCCCCTCAGCCCGTACACCTAAGACAACACAAAAACAACAGTTGTGTATTAAGTCATCCCTATGCACATTTAATGAAAGGGACACTATAAGCACCCAGACCACTTAATCTAATTTCCTACATTTCTGAGAATCTGCAATAATTACATTGCAGGGGTAAGACTGCCTCTAGTGGCTGTCAATCAGACAGTCACTAGAGGCACTTCCTTTGTATTCCTAGCACTATAGTATCTCATTAACCCCTTAAGGACGGAGCCAAATGTACACGTTGTGAACGAAACATAATGTAAACAAAACCTGGCATTTGCACTACATGTCTGTCCAACCGTAATTCACCTCTTTCATATTAAATACACCCACCCTTAGGAGAAACAGGGATTTCATTTAATATCAAATATTTAGCTATGAAACATAATTTAATATGAATAAAATGGGAGAAAATAAGATTTTTTTTAATTTTTTTAGTTCTACATGACATTTTAACGGTCAATGTCATAATACTGTTTGCTTTTACTGCAATAAAATACACATATTTGTATTCAGCAAAGTCTCACGTGTAAAACAGTACCCCCTATGTACAGGTTTTATGGCGTTTTGGGAAGTTACAGGGTCAAATATAGCACGTTACATTTGAAATTGAAATTCGCCAGATTGGTTACGTTGCCTTTGGGACTTTATAGTAGCCCAGGAAAGAAATTTACACCCATAATGGCATACCATTTGCAATAGTAGACAACCCAAGGTATTGCAAATGGGGTATGTCCAGTCTTTTTTAGTAGCCATTTGGTCACATATTTTAAAATATTTTGATTTATATATTTTAAAATATTTTTATTTATATATAGGTATATATATAGTGACATATATGTATATATTTATGTATATAGATATATATATTATTTCGTTCTACGTGTATTTTGATATAAATATATATATATTAATATCACAATACAGTTAGAACGAAATAACACACATCTATATATTTTTTAATAATTTTTTTTTAATTATTTTTTTAATTTTATTTTTTAACATATTTACATATTAATTTTTTTTATATTATATATAAATATATATATATAACAATAATTATATATATATATAATCAGTATCAGTCTACGTGTAATTTGATATTAATATATATATATATAATTATATATATATTAATAGTAAAATACACCTAGACAGTATATGTGTGTGTATGTATATGTATATACATATACTTAGATCATATATATAATATGATCTAAGTATATTAATTTTTTTTTACACTTATTTTAACTTATTTTATTTCCAGCCAGCAGGGGGACCACCTGTCATTACAGGCAGCCATCCTGCTGGCAATGCAGGAGGCAGCTAACCCGGCCATGGACCTCACTCTCACATGGCCGGGGGGGCTGCCAGGGGGTCGGACGTGCCGCGGGGGGCTCCCTGGGAGTCCCCCCCAACTGCGATCGCTGGCGTGGGATCGCGGGCGTGGGATCGCGGGCGTGGGATCGCGGGCGTGGGATTGCGGGCGTGGGATCGCGGGCGTAGGATCGCCAGCGACCGGGTAAGTATAGAAAGACCGGAGGGCGCCCTCCGGTCTTAAGGGGTTAACAGAGGTTTTCCTACCACTAAAACGGCCATCATAGTTTAGGCTCACCTGCCACGTCAAAGCAAACCCTTTAAGTGAGTCCTACGCTAACAATTCACAGTGTTGCTTTCAGTTAAAAGACTAAAATTCTCTATGAGATAGAAGAGGTTATACTTATGAAGCCTTAAAGGAACCAAGTACAATAACCACAACACCCTTTTGGCGTCATCCCACAGTAAGATGTCAAACCATTTTAGAATAGCTTGACAACTCTCCTGGGTCTAGTCATTAAGCTGGTTTTGCCTCTTTTGAGGGTTTCTTGTGGTTGATGTACAATTTTTGCTAGTTTACTGTTAATCTTGCTCTCAATTCTACTGAATTTGTCAATGTTGACTATTATTTTTTTATGGTTTGTCCAGTGTCAGTATAAGGGTACTCCCTAACATGCAGAGCCTTGGCCAAATTTAATAAAGCCTAGAATGGACAGAGCGTATTAGGTTTGACCAGGCTAAAGGCAAAAAATAAAAGAGAAATCCATAAGGTCTGGGAAAATAAAAATACACAGGTTGATGTCCAAGGGTTGGAGAGGTACACCAGGTCAATAAAGTAGCCCGTGGCTAAAATACCAAAAGGGCAACAAACAATAAGAAACGTGCTATCGGACTCCAAGGGGAATGCATGACAAAGGAATGTACTGCGGGTTTAAGTAGTGGAGAAATAAACCCTATTGGCCAGCATCATAATTGTAAATACCAAAAAGAGTGTTGTTTTGTGAAAATGATGCAGGAGCTCGTGCATCACAAATTTGACTAAGAGTCTTGGTTCAGTCAGATTTATTTTGTTTTCCTGTGATTTTATTAATAATTTTAATATTGTTAAGACTCTAAGAATATGTTGCCCCTTTATAACAGAGAGTAAATATTATTTTTGTCCTCAGATAAAATTTTACATTGCCGTGCTTGCATTCCAATACATGACCATTGGAAACAAATATGCTTACAAGCTAAAGGGCATTACTGATCCTCCGGTGAGAGCTTTTTTTCTCGTCTTTGAGAATAAAAAAAACAAAAACTTTGTGACAATTTTCCAGGACTTGCCAGAATTCCCAGAGCCAGTGAGCTACTTCAGCCTTACCTGTTCAAGCCTTATCAAACTGTCTCTCTGCAGGAAAGGGAAATGTTTTTATACCTCCAAGGTCAATTAAATGTGTACCAGTAAGTTGGGTAGATATATATTACCAATCAATCAGGCACATTTGTTTTCATTTCTATAGTGTTATTTTTTAATTTATTTTTTTAACTGTAAGCAACAATGCTTTCCAGTAAAACAAACATTATTTGTGGAGAAATCTTTGTATGAAAAATATGTTCAGACTTAAATTCCTCTTTGGGTTTCGGTGGTGTAGTCCCGTGTTTGTTGTCTTATATTTAACTAAAAAATAATAAAACAACAATTATGTAATATAACAGAATTGTTTTATTTTAATGGAGATTCAAAAATCGCATGTCATGCACTCTTTGATTTAACCTAATTGCGAGCTGATAATAAACTTTACGGAATTGAGAATTGCGTTCTAATCTATTTTTCACATGTGCAGCATTGTTTACAGACGGAAGCTCATCAATCATAATTTTTAAATCAAGATTTTTTAAGACAACCTAAAAGGGACTGTGGCTTACATCCAAACGCAAATGATAAATTACTTTGTTGCGTTGAAGACGAAAATTGGATCTATTCCTTCACTGGTTCTCCAACTGGGCTGTAGGTACATGTCCTTAAATTAACAAACAAAACATGTTTCCTTTGCATGCTACAAATACTCCATAGATATCGTTCTGCTTCAACAATCTGCACTCTTAAAATTGGAAAATGCTATCCATTACATTCTGAAATCGGATGTCCCACCAAAAATAATAATTAAGACAGTTTGATGGCAACTCCTCTGTAACCCTCAAATCAACCCAACAAAGACTGGAAAATGAATTCGCTGGTTTTGTCAAAGCAGAAAAGGAAAATACAGGAAATCATTAATTATGGTGTCATTGCTAGAACGCACGACTGCTAAAGCATTTATATTGAGTCTTTTATTATCTATGGTAAAAAAAGAGAAAAAATATAATATTGAAATGTGTGGACAAATTTTACAATAAGAAAGATTCTGAAAAAAAATAGTGAATCTAATAGCATGTTTTAGCAATTTATTCAATAAATATACAAAATCTAAATTCAAATGGATATGTAGCAAGAGTAAATAATACGAATAACGTGAAAATGGTGCCTGTTCGCGTTTAATGAAAATTAGGGCTACCTATTTTACTGTCAACAAGGCATTAGAACAGTTGAGGATACTATCCCAACGACCAACAGCAATCAAAACAAATTACTACATTGGTGTGTTTTGTTTTTTTTAATGTTCTCCTCGAGGAAAAAGTTAAAAAGATGAGCGAAGTGGTGTACTGCCTAAAAGGCACAAAAGCATTTATGAGTAGAGGCAATCCATTCAGGCTCTGCCAAATGTGAGTTCACTAAAGGATTATACACACAGTAAATCTTGTTTTACCACTACAGTATTGCACTATTATTTGTCATTTGTTTTTTATACCACATGTGAGTAACAAGAAACCCCAAGTAAAATAGGGGTTTGTTTATTGCACCATCTAAAACGCTGCACTCACGTTTATTTGGGATAGGGTGGAGCTTTTAATATTTGTACACTATATAAAAAGCAAAAATTAATAGTTTGGGGAAGAGTGATCAGAATAGGAAATACTGTGAGATGTATTAGACTAAAATTATTTTAAGTATTTAGAAACAAATCGAACACCACGTGAAAACAGAAGAATCGGTCCCTTATTCACAGAATATGCAAATACACAAACCACGAGAAACATGGGAGTGAGAAATTCAAACATAGTAATTGAAGGAAATTTTCCAAATATAGCGCAACTTACAAGGTGGAACATGTTGGCCGGGTTTCGGAACACACTGGCTCTGGATGGATGTTGTCACCGTATGCACCAATATTATAAAAACCCATAATAATAATAATAAAATTCTCCAGACTCCCTACTTTGTCTTAGTATATCTCTTGACTTGGTTGTAACTTCAGTGGAAATATACATAGTAGGGAGGTAGGGTGATATAAGTATTAATATCCCCAAGATTAATATCATGTCCTGGTTATGGACATAGTGGGATTCATGCAATAGATAAAACTGAATTACAGGGATTGAACACAGAACAAAGATACTCCTATTGAGATATTGAGATTGTGATATTGTTTTAGATCGTAAGCTAATTGGGCAGGGCCCTATTCGCCAACTGTGTTCTCATCGGTCAAACGTGTTTTGGTAGAATTCATATTTTGTTTTGGTTTATGTATTTATATGTACAGTGCTGCGGAATTTGTTGAAGCTATATAAATCATTGTAATTATAATAATAATTATTCCGACATTAGTGTTTCACGCCGAAAAAAAGAATCTGCTTGAAAACCTCCTGTTTCACTCCCAACCTGTCAACGTGAAATCTTTGAAAAAGTCTTAAAATGTTTATATCTGCAAATCGCACCTGTAATAAGTGTGAATGTTTCATTATTTGTTTTATAGACAATTTAAATATGATCATATGTATTTGAAAAAGAGAGAAAATTTTATGTACTCTTACTAGTAAAACACTTTCTAAATCCATATTTTAAATTGTTTTACCTCAGCTATAGATTTAAAGGGACACTATAGTCACCAGAACTACTACAGCTTAATGTAGTGGTTCTGGTGTCTATAGCCTGTCCCTGAATTGTTAGCACTGTAAACGCTGCCTTTTCATAGAAAAGGAAGTGTTTACATTGCTGCCCAGTACCACATCTAGTGGCAGTCACACAGACGGCCACTAGAGGTGTTCCTAGTCCAGTGCTCTGAATGTTCCCCATAGAGATTTATTTATTCTATGCATCTCTATGAGGACAAGCTGACAGGCGCAGCACAGCATTTTGATGTCCTATGACTGATGATCTTAGCCAGGCAGGGTCAGCCGCAATAAGTCCGGCGGCATGTGAGAAACGTTGAATAAAATCTAATTTTTACTGCACAGAGAGGGAGCCTGTCAGCTAAACAGCCACCTCAGCACATAAATGTTTGTATTCCTGACACTGTAGTGTTCATTTAACTTTTAACTATCTTTGTCTATCAGATATTTGTGACTAGCACCACTTACTGGCCTTGTCAGTACTTACACATGTTTATAAATGTCAATAAACAGTTGGAAAAAGAATCATGTTATTCTTAAAACGAAAATAAACAGCCTGCATGCTCTGTGAACTAGTTTGGATGGTTTATCAATTTGTCATATACAACAACACTTTTAAAAATATACCGTGACCTGTGTTATTATTTCACATATGCAAATTTCAACATATATTCTCTAACTGATTAACTACTTATTTTAAAGGATCACTGAGGTCCCCCAAGCCACCTCATCTCAATAAAGTGGTCCGGGTCAGGGTTAAAGAGTTACTCCACGCACCATAACCACTGCAGTCCATTGCACCCTGACCCTGTTCCCCAGTTATGGAACAGACAATTTAGCAGAGTCGCAAAAGCCGTAAGCTGTGGCCATCACTATTCACTGACTGAGAGCGTCAGCTGACCATTGCCGGCCAATGGCTGGTATTCTGTGCATGCTGACAACACTCCAATGACAGTGACAGAGGTGGAGTTACACCACTGGCAGCAGAGAGGTTAAAACTCTGTATCAGAAGCGTTTTAAAGTAAAAAGCTGCACGTACAGACTCCAGACACCATAACCTCTTCAAATCTCTGAAGTGGTCATGGTACTTGGTGTATCCCTTTAAACACACCTCTCGTGGCTATCTTCCTGAGAGCTAATAGAGGTGCTTCCTCTACAACACTTGAGTGAAACTCGGTCATGTGACCAAATGCAGTTCACAGGAAAGCATTGAATTCAATGCTTTCCTATACAAAGCATTTGAATGACAATGCAATGCTAGCCGCGCATGCACATCAGTCCCTAATGCTTCACATTGAACCAATAGCTAGAGAGTTAGATGACGTTGCAGGTGTTGGCGGCAGCGTCGAGGGAGTCTCAGCACTGGAGAAAGGGTAAGTAAAAAGCTTTTTGTGAGATTTCTACTGCCGGCGAAGGGGGCCTCAAATGAATCAGGCAGTAGGACACTACAGCGTCAGGATTTCAGTTTCTCCTTAGATCTACATAACTTTGTGAGTTTTTAAAATATGAATGATATATAAATTCTAATAGGGAGACTGGCCAGGCGTTTTAATGTTTCAACATTCAATGTCAGGTACAGTGATATTCATTGCTTTTATAAAATAACTTTTTGAATATTTCATTATTAAACCATCAAATGTCAGAAATGGTTAGAGAATTTCAAATTCTATGCATAAACAGACAAACTGGACACATGGCTGAATTGGAGAAAAAAAAAAAGAAAATGTGAATTTTATAGGAATTACACTATACAGGATATGAACTAGTTAAATCGAGAATTTTTACTGGGTGACAAATTGCTATGGAAATCATATGACCAACCTAAAGCCAGTGACAAAAAAACTTACATTTTATAGGAATCACACTAAATATAACAAGATTACATTTTTTTTTCTGTGTGATATTTTCCTACATTTGAAATTAGTTTATTATGAATTCTAGTAATATATTCGGACACGGCCATTCCAGCAATGACTAATAAATGTTTCCAAAGAACATTAAACAGTAATAAACACCTCCCTTTATTTAATGGTTAATAAGATCTTAGTTTCCGCTTGGCCTAAAATTATCCGTGACCTTTCTTGAGTGACACCTAAAACCCCCAGCCTTTGTCACTGCTTTCTCTTAAAAATATTAATGGCCTAATTTAGTTAACTTCTGACTGAGCTTTTCCTATTGTAATTTAGAAAAAAAAAATTAGTTTTTTGGGGAGAAGGGGCTTTTTGTTGTTTTTTTTTGTTGTAATTTTTATTACTCAGCCAGTCTCGTAGGTTGCAAATATAGCGTGGCAAGTAACATCATGCTTCCACGTAGCCATAACGGCGCCAATCGGCTGACGGAGACAGCTCTGTGTTGTTCAAACAACTTGCTGGATCACCTTACTTATCTCCCGGATTAACTAACAAGAAATCTGTGTCAGAAGAACAAAACACATTTTTACAATTACGCCAGCCCTCTTTGTAGAAGATTAGTTGTAGTGTGAGATGCGTTGCCTTAGACTAAAGGTTCAATGAGTTTAGGTGAGGAAGCTTTTAGCTCCCCAATCATGTTTGAAAAGGAGTGATTATTGCCTTAAGCCCTTGAGGTGGCTGCCCTGAAGTTCTAACTTTGATGGACTGAAAAGACATCTCAAAAAACCATTTCTAAGCAACAGTCAAGTGTCATGACATCTTGTGTTTTTGTTTTGTTGTTTTTTTGTTTTTTTGTTTTACCTTTTAATTGTTTCTGGTCCAATTATTGCTCCTCTTTCTGCTTTTGGTGTCGATAATAATCTTTAATTAAATGTACACTTTTACTTATCCGAAAATATATATATTTTTTGATCTTCGTATATGTCATAGTTATACTGTAGTCGTGCTGATATAGAGCTTATAGGATCTGAAATTGCAGAACTAGTTTAACATTAAGCTAGGGGACAGCATTTCCACTCGCACTTGTCTGGTTGTGCAGTGTCTTATAAGCAGTCTTCTGCTTAGCTAATGCCCAGAAAGAGAGAAGTGCACTGGGAAATAGGTTCCCCCAATGGTGGAAACAATTTTGGCAATTTAAATGAAAGCTTTTATAAATACCATACTCTGATCAACCATAACATTAAATCACCAACAGGTGAACTGAATAACATTGATTATGTCGGTAAAATGGCACCTGTCGAGAAGTGAGATATTATAGGCAACAAATGAACAGTCAGTTCTTGAATACTATGTGTTACAGAAGGAAAAATGGGCAAGCGAAGAGATCTGCTGAGTGATTTTCAAAGGGCCAAAAAGTCATGCCTAGCGCATGTCCAAAACAGCAAGTCTTGTGGGGTGTTCCCGGTATGCAGTTGTTAGTACCTACCAAAATTGGTGCAAGGAAGGATAACCAATGAACCGGAATAAGGATCATGTGCACCCAAAGTTCAGTGATGCTCATGGATAGCAAAGGCTAGCCTGTCTGGTCCAATCATGTAGATGAGCTACTGTAGTTAAACTGCTTAAAAATTCATTCTGGCTACGATAGAAAGGTTTCAGAACACAGAGTGCATTGCAGTATGCCACATATGGCGCTACAAAGCTGCAGACTAGTCAGAGTGCTTTACCCATATCCACCGCTGAACGCACCTTCAGTGGAGACATGAACATCAGAACTGGACCATGAAGCAATGGAAGAAGGTTGCCTGGTCTGATGAACCACGTTTTCTTTGAGATCATGTTGATGGCCGGGTGTGTGTGCGTAATTTAACTGGATAAGAGATGGAAGCAGGATGCACCATGGGAAGAAGGCCAGCGGAGGCAGTGTTATGCTCTGGGCAATGTTCTGCTGGGAAACCTTGGATCCTGGCATTTACGTGTATATTACTTTGACACATGCCATCTACCTAGAGACTGTTGCAGACCACGTACACCCATTTGTGGAAATGGTGTCCTCTGATGGCAGTGGCCTCTTTCAGAAGAATAATGCACCCTGCCACACTGCAAAAATTGTTCATGAATGGTTTGAGGAACATGACAAAGAGATCAAGGTGTTGTCTTGGTCTCCAAATTCCCCAGTTCTCAATTCGATTGTGCATCTGTGGGAGCTGTTTTGGCAGCACACGGGGGACCTACACGATATTAGGCAGGTGGTTTTAATGTTGTGGCTGATAAGTGTATATCCTTTAGTTTTACAAACTGTGGTTTTCTATTGAAAAATGCCTATTGACCTTTATTACCTTAGTGACTAACGTCTACTTTTATTGGGGGGGGGATTAACACTTGTAACCATTAAAACCTACTGTTTTTGCTATTAGTATTATTTAGTAATCTTCAAGGACAACTCACTATAGCAAGGCTAAATAATAAACTCCTAACTTGAGTTAAAGACAAAATAAACATAACGTTCAATACAAATTATTTATATTCTCTGGAGCCAAGTGAGTCAGTAGCCCTTACGGAAAAAATGCAAAACTCTAACAGGGTTCTATAATTTGGAAATTGCAGAGGGTTGTTGACCAATATAGCCCAGCTGGGAATTTTTTTTAAAAAAAGCATGTTAATATGATTTAATTTAGAAAAGCCTTCTCATTTCTTCCAGCTTCATGAAATGCAAGGCGTCCTTCATAGGGGCATCACCAGGAACAGAGCTTGCATCACTGGCGACACCCCAAATTGACAGGCCCACCTGGGATTGGACTGCCCACTCACTGAAGGGGCATGTCAACTTTCCGGCTGAACCCCAATCTACAGGATCATGCAGAGTGCGCCACTAAAGCTTTCTCTGCACGGTCCTAGCACCCAGACGTATGATGCCAGGTGTGTCTTGGCACTGTCCTATGGGAAGTAGCCAAACTGTTTTAGTATAGAAGAAACAGAAAGTCTTTATAGAGCTATGCACAGACAAAACAGGATTGTGAGGGTGACACTATCAGCCCATGAGCATGGCCCCAGCATGGCGCTTCGTAGCTGAATAGAAAAAAGTAGAAGACCGGAGTAGGGTACAGGTGTGAGA